CTTGACATCAAGGGATAAGCAGTGTTGATCCTTCTGGAGGCTCTTTGGGAGAAGCCTGTGTCATAACTCCTGGTGGCTGCTGGCAATCTGGCATCCTGCGGCTGGTAGACACATGGTTCCAGTGTCTGCCTCCATCCTATCAAGATCTTTCAATTATAACATCTCCAAAGACCCTGTTTCTACCTTAAGTGCCTGCATTCTGAGGGTTCAGGTGAATTTGAATTTTGAGCCAACACTATTCAATCCATTACAGGAGCTCATGTGCATTTCCCTGGACCATCAGAGCTGGCATGAGCTGTAATTTGAGGTTCTAACACTAGAAGAGCATGTACTAATACACCAGTCTTTGAAAGAGTAGATTTAATATATATATTTTTTTTTCTAGTTTTTTTTTTTTAGGTGGACACAATATTTTTTTTATTTTTATGTGGTGCTGAGGATCGAACCCAGTGCCCCATGCATACTAGACAAGCACTCTAACACTGAGCCACAACCCCAGCCCGAAAGAGTAGATTTTAACTAGCTACATCCTAAGTAATTGCAAGTGAGAATTGATTGCTAACAGAATCCTTGATTTATTTTCTTGTTTCAAAATTGGGTGTTTTAGTTTTTTTTCTATTAAAAAATAGAATTTTTCATCACATTTGGATTTTCTTTGTAAAGGCCACTATTTTTCCTGGCCAAATTCTTCATTTACCATGCCAGTTCTCCAATAATACTCTGTCCCTGAGTTTATTATAGTAAATTGAGTATGCTGAAAGCTATAGAAAAAGACCACTGCATTATAGGAGCCCTCCTACCACCACCTGTTGTGGGGCTTCACCCACCCCTGGAGAGGGCAGGATGGTATATGGAAGGACCCTGAACAGTGAGATAAGAGACCTGGGTTCCATTTAAATTGACTCTAAGAGTTTTAGATTCTGGTGCCCATATGTGCATACTTCTCTCTCAAGACCACAAGTTGATCATTTCCATCTCTGAAGGCATCTCCATCAGTTCACAGCAGACAGTTGACTCTCTAATAGTACTGTGCTAGACACTAGGTAAGCCAGAATAGGAGCTTATTGCTCATGAGGTAATGCTGTTATTGAGAGGGTGAGGGGTACAGGACACACTGTAGCATGGGGAAGGCACTTCTGGAAGCCTCAAGGGTATGGCCTCTAAGTAAGTCCTCTGTAGAGTTAATGCTAGGTGACAGGATGAGAGAAGAATGCCTCTGGGGGAAGGAGTATTGTGTGGGAGTTCTGGGAAACAGGAGAAAAGTCAGTGTGGTCACACAGGAAATGACTGATCCTAGATTACAGGCAGAACCAGGTGACAGGCAGGGCTGGAGAGACCAACAAAGATCAGACCATGTGGGGTTTTCTAGGCTATGACTTATGTCCCAACAGCAAGGAGAACTCACAGGAGGGTTTTAAGAGGGAAAGTGGCATGGCTGAATTTTATATTTTGAAAGTTGTGGTGACTTCAGTGTGATGACTAGGAAGACTGTCAGGAGACCTTTTTGGTAACTGTTGATGGTTAAAATCAGAGTGGATAATGGGATAGATCTAGAGAAAGTTTAAATGTGAAGGAGAAGGAGGTGAGGACCAGGTCTGATTTGGGCATGGAGTAGAAAGTAGCATCTTTTACTGAAATCTAGAATGACCAGAAATCTGGAGGACCAGCTGTTGAAGGTGGCATATTTAGTTTGGAGTATGTTGAGATGAGGTTGTATATACTTCCAAACAAAACTTTCTAGGAGGCAGAATAAATACTGATTTAAAGTTCTTGGACCTTAAGTCCATTAAGGATTTTCTTCTTCATCACTCTCAGTTGCCTGTAAGAATCATTCCTCTTTACCTCTGTTTTGAGATGGCCTTGATTTGGAAGACCTTTCTGGCTCTGTCCCCATCTGAAGTAGAAAAGTGGACTGGCTTTTCAAAGGGATGGAAAGATAGAGTTGCAAGTTTCTCCTCCTTGTTTTTCAGAATCCAGTTTGAACTCCTCTGGTTGCATATTCTAGGGGCTAAGTAAAAAAACCTATTCAGGTGTATATTGAGAGCCCCTAACAACATTATCCTCAGAAGGTGCAAAAGAAAAAAAGGATATAAGGAGATCTGGGACAATGGGAAAGGATTTACCCAGTTTCTCAGGAGGATGGGATTAGGCCCAGACAAAAAGACCCCAGCCTCATTATTAGTCCTCTTTCAGCTCACTTGAGCTTGGCTCACCCTGGGTGGTCAAGAGCCTCTTTTGTCCAAAGGAATCTCAATGCCTCCTGAACTCATTTCTTCCCACTGGGCCTGCTTTTTTCTCTCCTGCTCCTGCTAAACTAGAGCTGGATGGACCTGGGGAAGGTGTCACCCACCCTGCCTCTGTCTGCTCCTTTGGCTGATTAGTCCCTGTGAAGTATTCATGCTGTGGAAAACCTGCTTCTTTAGCTTTTGTGATTTTTCTTAAGACCACATTAGCAACCAGAAAGAGTATCCACATGCAAAACACTCCTTCTGCTTAATGCTCTCTTCCCTCAAATGAGTGGATATGTCATTTTGGAGAGTTCTCAGCCCTGTGCTAAAATGGAGATGTCTGTGAAACCTGCTTGGCAGGTGTGATGCTGACCTGCTCATTACATGTTCTTTGACATTCACCATAACCACAAATTCCTAGAGGAGGGGAAGAGGGGGATGATTGGATATACCAGGGGCTTATCAAGTGAATGTTCACCTTAATCCCATCTAGGCCTTTGCTCAGCAACTTTGAGTTTGGGAATTTCAAAGCAAATCCTATTTTGCTGGGCTAGTTTTGTGCAAATGTTAATCAGTGAATTGTTTCTGAGCATCAGTGTAAACCTAATGAGAAATAATGCTTCAGGTAAAATGTAGAACGACCTGGAAATCATAAATTTCATCAGTTGGACTAAGATTGAAACCTGATTCTGCCTTACCTTCATTATTTCATTAGGACCAGATATCTTAAAGGACATATTTCATTTTTCAAACTTTCAAGTACCCACTGATTGTGTGAAGGCTCACTGACATGCCAACCACATCCCTCTGCTGGTCTTTCCTTCTGCCAGCTAGTATTAGCTCTGTGGTCTTCTGCTATCATGGCAGGCCTGACAAATACCAGCTAGGGATTAGTGTACTTGGGCCTGGGATTCTCTTGACTTTTAGAAAAAGACTCTCAATGTCTTAAAATAGCATAGTAGCTAAAATAACAATAACAACAATAATAGCTGGCCATTGCAGAGAGTAGTGTTTGTTTAAAATCCAAGGCCCTGTTCCTGGCAGCAGTTTCCACTAGCTGGGCTCCCACAAGAATTGCTGTAATGGAAAGCATGTGGCCTCATCATGAGAGGAAACACAGGGGTCTGTGAAATCCCCTCTGAGAAGATTTCCTGAGCATTGACCTCCATATATCCTAGAACTTGAAGTAAGTGGTGTGGACTTGACCCTTCTAAAAAGACTTGGGAGTCTGTTGGCCCCTCTAGCCTCAACACCTAGACTGTCTGTTCCCATCACCAGCTTCTGAGATGCTTTCCTACCTTGTGATGAGGGAGGGAGTCAGGGAGGCCAGTCAGCTATAGCCTATGAAAAAAGCCACACCACTCGGATGCATTATGTCTGGAAATGAATATGAACTGCCCTCTGAATGGACAGATACCAATCAGCTCATGACTCCCTCCCATCCTATGAGAAGCTCTTGCAATGCAGGCTGTCAAAGTCTCACCTACCCTGTACACATCTCTTCCACATCCACCCCCAGGCCTACTGCTTTCTGGTAGTCAGCATGTCACATCCAGCAAAGCAGTTTTCTGTTCCTGGCCCACTTCCCTTGTGGAATCCATTGCATCCAGAACCAGAGTTTCCAGGTATGGGAAGGATGTGGAAGATAGCAGGCCTGGGAAGGCTTATTAGAGACAATGGAAAGATATGATGATGTGACTATCTTGGCCTTGGATCACATGCCCTATGGACTTTTGGAAAGTCCTCAGTGGTGTTTCTAATGGCTTTATCAAGTCACCTTATCCTGGCTCCCTCAGCAGTCCTAGATAGCATCCTTGGTGCACTGGTTTCAGATTTTGACAGGTGATGAAAGCACGTATTGAGATTGCTGCTTCACAGGGTCCACATTTCATAACTATTGACTGATGTTATTTTTGCCTTTGCTGAGAAGCTCACTCATGTGTTTTCTGTTACTTTAATGGATTGCTTCCTGATACACAGGGAGTCCCAGCCATTTGCCCTTCAATCTGACAAACTGCAGCTTCACCTGAATGGACTGGAACTACACAAGGAACATTTAGACCCGGCAGTTGGCAACACAACTCACTTTTCTTCCTAGAAAATATGCTCAGAGCAGACACACCTGTAAACATGCTTATTTGCATCTTTGTGGAGCCTAACTTTAATTAGGATTCTCAAAATTCTTCACTTCCATTCTCTGAATTTTTAACATCTAAATACCCTAAGGTTCTAGTGTTTGGTTCTGTACTTCTGAAGGCTAAATGGAAAATGCTTGATCGTGATTTATTTGTCAGTTGTAATTATGCTGATAAACAGAACAATATTCTGGACTTATTCTGAGTTATTGGGTTATGCCAATAAACCATTATTCTACCAAAGGCTCTGCAGTGGGTTCTCATGGAATGTCTCCTGGTGGATATCTCCTCTCTCTTCCTTCTGCTCATCAGACACATTTTCTGGTCTGTGCAGGAAATTCCCACTCTTCTTTGGTTCCCTGGCTATGGTTGGAAAGACATCAGAGTGTCAAAGGCTGAGTTCAGGCCTAAGATATCAGCAGGCCAGTCAGGCAGCAGAGGCTTGTTGCCTTGTTTATTTTGTATTTACTGTTCTCTTGCTTTGAGTTTGGGGACAAAAGCCAACAGGTTATTAAAAGAATGAGAATAATTTGACTTCTGACATTGGTTGGGTCTTGGGGTTACTGGGTATTTTGTTTTCTGATGTGAAAGCAGCTGTTTGGTAACCACTAACTCTTCCCTTATTCTTTTCTTGCAGATGAGCTCACAGTGCCTGCACTTTACCCCAGTAGCCCTGAAGTGTGGGCCCCGTACCCTCTGTACCCAGCGGAGTTAGCGCCTGCTCTACCTCCTCCTGCTTTCACCTATCCCGCTTCACTGCATGCCCAGGTAATTTATACCCATCGGCCACGACTTCACTCACTCCACCACCAGCCCTTTCAAACCTGGTTCCCCAGAGCACACCATACAACTAACACCTATCCAGCTAACAGATCCACCTTCAGGAGATGAATGATCCCCTCTACATCAAGCTGACACCCCTCCAGGACTTATGAGGAGCGTCTGACAGCAATGATACCACCCACTGCCTGATGTTTATCCCCCCAAACACCTCTCTCTTCCTTAATGATCTCACCCTCATCTTACACGAGAGACTGGGGCAAGGTCACCTCCCTGGCTCCCAGCTAGCTAGAGGGCATCACCCAAGCATAGATATGTCTGCCTTTTCGTGAGGAAGGGTTACCGAGGGAGGAGTCTACTTGAAGTTATGTGTGTCTGTGTGTGTATCTGTGTGTTGAGAGGCTTCTGCTGTTGTTTCCCATGAGGATCTAAGGACCAGAAGAGAAACTTCCAAGAGGAAGACTGCGTTTTTTTACACTGATTACAGGAAAGATGAAGAGTTCCTTGTTCCCATGTTGAAGCCCTGTAGGGGGGGTGCAATATAGTATTTAGAATGTAATTACAAGTTAAAATAGAGATCTCTGTTCTGCCCAACTTTCGTTCTTAGTTAAGAATAGCCTGAGTTTTATAAACAAACTCCCTGTTTCTCCCCAGAGATGACTCTCTGCATACTAACACTTCCTCTCTTCTTGGAGAAAATGTTTCTCTGAGCCTTGTTTTTAGTGCTGGTAGTAGTAGTAATCATTGTTAAGATCCATTGTTGGAAATAACCACTCATTCTTTGGCCTTCAGAGAGTAATGATCAATAGCAAATAAAAAGTAAGAATATAGAGCCTGGAGATTTAGCTCAGTGGTAGAACACTTGCCTAGCATGTATAAGACCTTGGGTTCAATCCCCAGCACACCAAAATAAAAGAAAAGAGAAAGAATATTTGTCTTCCCACGTAAGTTTTTAAAACCTCAGCCTGGTTTTTAAAAAATTGTCAGGCTGGACAGGTATGGTTTTTGTTTTATTGGGTAATATTTATTTACAAGGCTGGATGGAATAAACAGTTTCCCAGAAAATTCTTCTTTCTGACTTAAAACACTTTTCACATTGGACAGAACTATGTTGACTGAGTCACCTGCAAGTAGCCCCTAAGTAGGCTTCTCCAAAGCTGTGAGGTCAGGAGTGTATGTTAAGCAACTAATTACCAATGCTTTCTGCATGTACTAGTGACCTGGCTTCTGGGGCTATTCCTCAGTTCCTGGACTCCTGAGAGCAATTGACCTCTGTGTTGGGAGGAAAAGGTAAAAAGTAGTAAAGAAAAATGTAGATGGGGGCTGCAGTTGTGGCTCAGCAGTAGAGCGCTCACCTAGCACGTGTAAGGTGCTGGGTTCAGGCCTCAGCACCACATAAAAATAAATAAATAAAATAAAGTTATAAAAAGATTTAGATAGTGGCAGAGAAGCTTCTTGGCACAGAAAAAAAATTAGAGGAGTAGCTGTGCCTTTTGGTTTCCCTTTCTCTGCTGCTTTGCCACTTTCTGTCCATGTCATTGCTTGTAACCCTCGCAGCTGGCATCTAACAGGAGGGAGGGAGATGTAAGCCTGTGGCAGTCTTCTGCTGAGTCATCAATATGTTTATAGTAGTCTGGGTGACTTTGTAAATAATGAGGAGCAATGAAAGAGCCCCTTTTATTGCTCCCCTCCATCACCACCACCAATCTGGATATTGTGTCTCCATTTGCTAGATGGCTCAGATTGGCAGTTAAGGCCATTGTTAATAAATACCATGAAACAGTACAAGTTTGCATACTCTTCTGAATGCCCATGGCTTTGGTTAGTCACCATTTCCTTGGAGAATCAAAAGTTGACAGTGAGCAAAAAGGTCTGGGAATAGTGACTTTGGGCTGTGACATCTGCCATTGCTTCATTCATGTAACAAATAAAATCAGAAGTGATCCTGGGGACATGTGTAGGAGAAGGACCTAATGAATCTTAAGGGATTAGTAAGCCTCCACCATTGTAAGGGAAGCTGGAGACACAGTGCAAGATTAGATGGACTGACCTATTTGAATAAATGGGATGCATTGCCCACATGGTGCCCTCCCCTGGGAGTTCTTCCTTGGCCTTGAGACTTTCCCAGCCTGGAATCTGCCACATCGGTCTTAGATTTGGTGAACTCTCATCCAATATCAGTGAGATCCATGTGTTTCACCCCTCTTCCTGTTTGGAGTCATTCCCAATGCAACCTTGGACTCTGTATCCCAAAGATTCATTCATGAATATGGTTATTTAAATGTCTTAGTCAATTCTGGGACTCACAGAGTGAACTGATAGAAGCTTTACAGATGAGCTGGTCTGACCCATTTTACAGATGAGGAAACAGGCCCGAGAAGATGGAAAGAGTTACCCAAAGTCACAGTGGCTCTACCATGACTAGACCTAGTTTGGTCACCTGACTCCCAGGCCTATCCCTTTCTACTCCGAGGCTGGCTTACCAAAAGACTTATTTAATGGAATTTTGGAGAGGCCTCAATCCAGTGACTCCTTGGAACTTTAGATGGGAAACCTATAAGAAGAGACTTGGAGGCAAAGACAAGGGAATCAGCATTTAACCTGCACCCAAAGGGCCTCAAAGAACCTTACTAACTGGAGGTAGAACAGAGTGGGGAAGCTCCAGGTGGAGCCTCCCCCCTTAGTGGATAATTCAGTTTTTGTTTTGGAAATTTTATAATGTCTTTGGAGAGTCTTCTAAGTAATTTTGCTTTTCTTAGCAATGTTGTGCTCTGTTTTGAGACATGGATTTTTTTTTTCTTCTAGTGTTTCTCTCCTGAGGCAAAGCCCAACACACCTGTCTTTTGTCCACTTCTCCAGCAAATTAGATTTGTCTCTGGGAATGTGTTTGTCACATATCAACCTACTGCAGACCAGCAGAGGGAGCTCCCATGTTGAATTTGTCTGTTAGCTATTTTTCCCCCTTTTGCAAAAACTATTTCTTGGCAACATTTGAGAGATTTCAATAAAAATTTTAATCAGAGCAAAAAATGATGTCAAGTAGACTACAGCGTTTTGTTTTTATGGTGATGAAATTTTGAAGCAAAATTGTTACTCTCTGACTGAGGTTTTGGGAGAATTGGGCCCATGACAGCTAAATGTGTTACATAGAAGGACTCGGAAAAAGCACACTGGGGAGACCAGGCCCCAGAACCCAGGCCTCATCACTGCTGCACGTATCTTCTTGGGCTCCTGAACCACTATGAGCTGCATACTAGAAGATTCTCATTCCAGCCTTCTCAACTGCCAGGACATCTCACTTCAGGAAGGACAGTGTATCTAGCTAGCAGAAGCCCATTTGCAAAGAGTGGATGTGTTTTCCAGTTCATCAGTTGTGACCCAGTGGAAAGAGGACTGAGGAAACGGAAGTTGTCATTAAAACAGAGTTAGGTCACATTTCTAGTTCTGCCTATATTTTAGTCATGATCTGGCACCCCCTCAGATTTTCCAGTTCTAATTTGAAGATACTTTTTGCAATCAATTCCTTTTTTCAGAAACAACTGGCTATGGTAATAGGACTGCACACTGGAAGCACCTTATTATTTGGGGGGATAAAAGTATAACCTCGTGTATTAAACGTCATCAACATTTTTAGAAGTGACTGTCTAGTTCACTATGAAGGCCATTGATCTTTGAATTGTATTAAATATGTAGGAAGGTTTCATCCACTACTTTCTGGAAGGTCTAAAGATAACATACAGCACTTCCTATCACCTCATGCTCACACATCTCTGCTTTTAGTCTTGTTGCTCATGGGACAGAGAAAGTGTATAGTCCTCTCCACATTCTAGAAATCCAGCACCAATTACTCTCCTCTAGAGTCAGTCACAAAATTGGGTCAGAGAATTTTGCAGGGAGGTAGGCCTGGGAAAGAAAATCCTGGTTCCCTACTGCTTCTCCAGAGGCCTCATTTGCCCAAGTTTCAGCAGGTATTTTGGAACTCACACAGGCTATTGTACAGTTTGTGATTGGAGCATGACTGGTACTGCAGAAACAGAAGATTTTGAGGCAAAGTTACAACACAGACTTCTTAGAGGTGTGCCCCTTGGGAGGCCCCTTGTGGCACACTGGAAAAAATTTAAAGGTTAATCTCAGTAAATACAGAAGTGGACCATGAGGAAGGAGACATAGGCAGGCAGGACAGGGAGATCACAAAGGGAGAGGTGGGCCTAGGACTAGCATGTGGGTTGCCTGCACTGCAGAGCTGTCCCCAACACCACCACATCTAAGCATTTACGCAGCTTCCAAGAACTGGATTAGAGAATTTTTTAAAACACAAATTTCACTAAGCATCTCCTCTGTCATTACTGTTCTGTGGAGAATATTGAGAAAGATAAAACACAGATTGCAAGTCTGAAGAGTGTGAGAGAGAATGTAGACCCAACCATGCACAGAGCCCCTTGGTAATCACCTGCCTCCATAGCAGCTTTCCTACCCAGGTGCCTGGTATAACTCCCATGGCAAGGAGTCTTCCCTCCCAACCCCTTCAGCCTCCCCACCCCCAGTGTGTACTTCCCGTTCATCAGGCAATAGCTAGTGTTATAATGGTGGCTGTTCCTGTGGGACCTGTGTTCAAACTCCAACACATAGGTAGGGGCTTTATCACCACATACAGGCCTGGCTTTCAGAAGTAAGGGAGATTCTGGTCACTTCTGTGAATCTCAGATCCTGTCAGCTCATAGCCCTGGCTCCCTTGTCTTTCAAGCTTGACTCTCCCATGGGTAAATTGTCTGGCCTCCAAAGCTGCTGCTTGCAGCTGTCCAAAAGACCCAAAGCTTTAAGTTGTCTTCAGATATTGATGAAACAAACTGCTAATCCTCTGACAGTTACATTTCACTCTAAACCTGAAGATTATTGAGGCCAGACTATGAGGAGAAAGAATTCCTTGAGTGCCCCAACTCTTTGGGCCAGTCTTGCCTTATTAGGCTAAGAACATCTTGCTCAGTGAT